GTATGATATTTCAAAAAATTAATAAAAATAAATATTGAATATTTTTTTTATTATAATTATAAATATTCTGTGCTGTCTGGACTGTTAATCATTCAATCATTAGAAATTATTCTTAATAAAAATATATAAACTAGTTATGGACTATTTTTTCTTAAAAACAAATAAATTTTAAAGGCTATAAAGTGTCAAACGCAGTTAACAATCCGAAAAAATTTTAATAATCTTACAAAATAACATTAAGATTATTAAAATTTTTTCGCATTGTTAACTGCGTTTGACTCTTTATAGCCTTTAATTTATGTTTGTTTATTTGTTTTTATTAGAAATCATCTTCTCTTGCTCCGTTTTAACAAAAAAAAAGATCAATGATTAATTACTTGAAACTAGCTAGGCGGAAAATCTACACTGCCAAGCCGCATTCACTACAAAAACGAAAGCCTACATATTTCACGTCCTGTACGACAGTTGACCATAAAAACATAAAGGGAAGGAATGTTAATCCTTTCAGCACTATTCAATCTAGCGCCTAGCTAGCCTAGCCTGGAGCTTGGATTTTCCAACCAATCAGAAAAGCTTGTCTCGTGTGGTGGGTGTGGCGTCTCTACAAGCTGTCCCTACCTTTGTTGCTATGACGCTTCTGCGCATGCGCGCAACGCGATTTGTCGCTAAGTAATGTCTCGCGTAACGTATTTCGTCCCACTCGTTCTCAGACGCTCTTGAGTAACGGATGTCTGGTGTATTTTTTTTGTGAATATAGCTAATCCGAGTCATTAAAAGTGAGGTTAGGCTTGTACGTGAGTGTACGTGATCGGTTGTACTTCGGAATTTTTATTGAAGACCTTCCGCTGTTTGGCTTCTTATTCTTATAAAAAAAAAAGGCAATCCAAATCAAAAAAGAAAATCCCGAAGAAGTCAAATAAGATGTGGGGCAACGGCCGCAACAACCGAGGAAACGAAGTAGGTAAGAGCTACTTCGGTAAGTACCCTTTTTAGTTTTATAACCTTATCTTTGTTCACTGAATGTTGAAGAAAAATTAAGTGATACATCACGCTCATCACGTGTAAAATATAACACACTCTGGAACTCTCGCATGCTTATAACAATGCTCCGAGGGGGTAACCACTATCTGAAATATTGTCCCACAGATTACATGATTTCATTTAATTTTATATAATTTTTTTTGATGACAAATAATTTTTCCTCACTATATATGCGGCCATTTAGTAAAATAAACGATTTTATCTAATATTACACAATTATTTCTTGTAATTGTCGGATTATATATCGAAATTTTTTATAAATTTGATAATGATTTCAGGGATTCCGTCCCACGATTACATTAAATAATTACCCCCTCGCAATGCTCCGTGTTTCATACGATTTCCAGCAGTCGTTTACTTGCATCTTTTACCACTCGTAAAGCCATTGAACTTCACTTACAGACAAGTTCGTTTGATGGTCAATTATACTTCGAGCCTCGTTCTCAAGATTACAATATGTAGTTATTTAGAGTTCTGGAAAACCTCTCTTTTTTTTCTGGTCAATTATATGTTTATATCATTTTCAAGGTTAATTAACTCCAATTTTATCAGAACATCATTTGTGAAATCAAATCAGGTATTAATCTGATGGACACTTACAAATTAAGAAATCTAAACATTGTACCCTAAAAAAGACTTCTTGCTTCTTTGTTACTCCATTATTAGAACGTGATAGAAAAGCTCAGTTTTCTGCACTTACATGAATGTTCTCCAATTTAAGAAAATGATGTGGATTTTTGTAATCAATTTTTTCAATTACACAGTTCATAATCGAGTTTCTTCTTATAAAATACTCCAGTGTAGTTTTATACTATAATATACCATATGTACTCGTGTGTGTGAAGCTGGCGTATTATTTGGTGGAAGCTCATGAAATATTGAGAGTTCTGAATGTATTTTCAATAGTTTTATAGTTCCTGATAGATAAAACTAATAATTCTGACCTCTAAAGTGGAAAAAAGCGAAAGTACAAACTGAGACGCCAGGTTCACGCAGCGTCTCACTTTGTCCTAGACAATTTTTAACCACAGATTCTTGTAGGATTTTGAAAAACAAACAGTTCTACATAAGTTTTAAAAAGAGTTCTGGCGATAAACAATGTTATTTTCAATTTTTAATAATGTTTAAATCCAAAAATTTAATTTTCAGCAATAAAACTAAGACCCTGACCAATTCTCGACAATTCTGAGAGTTCTATGATAATTTTTGTGAAGTACTGAATGTATTCTAACGACTTCCGAAGAGTTCCGATGATAAAAATTATTTATTAATTTTTTAAACAATTTTTAAATCCCGAGAAAAGCGCTTTTCAGGGTATATGTATGAGACGCTGGTCGAAATCTGAGAGTTCTGTGCGAGATATTATACTTTCGTATACCTACGGATGTATTCTAACGCCTTCCGAAGAGTTCTGTGATGTTGGAAATAATTTTTTAATTTTTTAAACAATTTTTAAGTCCCGAAAAAGCGCTTTTCGGGGTATATGTATGAGACGCTGGTCGAAATCAAAGAGTTCTGTGGGAGATATTATACTTTTCGTATAGCTACGGATGTATTCTATCGCCTTCTGAAGAGTTATGATGTTAGAAATAATTTTTTAATTTTTTAAACAATTTTTAAGACCCGAAAAAGCGCTTTTCAGGGTATATGTATGAGACGCTGGTCGAAATCTGAGAGTTCTCTGCGAGATATTACACTTTTCGTGTAGCTACGGATGTATTCTAATGCCTTTCGAAGAGTTCTGATCTTA